ACGGCCGCCATCTTGAATTTTTGAATTTTGAAAATCTGACCAAACATTCTAGTTTCCCGTCGAAATATACCCCCGGATACCGAATTTCACGAAAATCGATCGAACAGGAGCCGACTTAGCATTTTAGGCCACGGCCGCCATCTTGGATTTTGAAATTTTGAAAATCTGACCAAAAATTCGAGATCCCCGTCGAAAAGTACCCCCGGATACCGAGTTTCACGAAAATCGATCGAACAGGAGCCGACTTAGCATTTTAGGCCACGTCCGCCATCTTGGATTTTGAAATTTTGAAAATCTGACCAAAAATTCGAGTTTCCCGTCGAAAAGTACCCCCGGATACCGAGTTTCACGAAAATCGATCGAACAGGAGCCGACTTAGTTGAAAATCTGACCAAAAATTCGAGTTTCCCGTCGAAAAGTACCCCCGGATACCGAGTTTCACGAAAATCGATCGAACAGGAGCCGACTTAGCATTTTAGGCCACGTCCGCCATCTTGGATTTTGAAAATCCGACCAAAAAGTCGAGATCCCCGTTGAAAAATACCCCCGCTTACCAATTTCCTCAAAAATCCGTTGAAAAATACCGCCTAAAACCTTATATTTCGTCTATAAGGCAGTGACGTCACGCAACAGGATTGAACCTGTTCGGCGCGATGCGCGTTAACAACCGCGTATCTGCAATGTAATACTATATGGAGAAACAACTTTTCGCTCTTGCGGGCGTCCTAAGCAGCGGATTTGAGTGGGAATAATTTTAATCAACTCCTCATTACAATAGCTGAGCGTGTACCAATTTTAAAGGAAATCGCTTCGGCCAATTTTTATCTAGGGGGGGCATAGTGAGTGGGAACAGCAGCTTTATATAGAGTAACTAGGGGCCTGAGGCCGCTACGCGGCCGCTAAACACTGAAAGGGGCCTGCTCGTAAGAAATCGTAGAACAACCACGTTCAAGTTATTCATTATAATTGAATAGCGACTTGAATTGACAATAAATTTTGAAAAAAGATATAACATGCTCTGAAATTTTGGGAATTGAAATTGGAATTTTGAATTTATCATCATATAATAACAATTTTAATTTAAAATCTGGAAAAATTAAATTACCTATTCCGGACTTTTAAATGTAAAGTGCCAGTATTGTGATGCCTTGCATTTCAAAAAAGAGGAGGTGAACGGCCATTTTAACAGATGTTGTCATAATGGTCTTCTCAGACTTGCCGAGCCTGGAATCTATGACCAACTTCGCGACCTCTTCTCCAAACCCATTTTCATGACCAACATTTTGAGATACAACAGTTGTATGGCTTTTGCATCGCTGTCTGCTTCCAAAGCTCATAATTTTGAACCAAATCTTCTGCTATCGAATACGAAAAATCATGGAGAATTTAAGTTTAATGTTGACCAGCTTCTCGAAAGAAAAATAAAATTTCTAAGGAAGTCTGCAACATCGCAAAAGGAGAAACGTCGTCTCTCATTATGCCCAAAAATATGTATGTATAAAATTGAAGGCATTATTACTGGCCTCTCTCAACTTATAGGTATTCATATGTAACGATAAACAATGGGACGCGTTTGCTACGGCGCCTTGATACAACTATACAACCTCGAAGGATGTCAGTATTGCGTTCAAAAAATTGAAGGCGTTTTGACCCCCTGCTCATACTACCCGTAGTTGATTCGATCGACGAACGCGTTGGTCGGCGGTGGCGGGGACTTGATGCATTTTTTTAAACTTGATGGATGTCCGTTTCGCACCGAATGAAGTGCGAAACCACGTATCCCCATTGCGGAGTTTCAAAATTTCCGTTCTTAATCCATCTCTTCCATGAGAAACAATCCAAATTTACGATTGTAAATTTTGAACCAAATCTTCTGCTATCGAATACGAAAAATCATGGAGAATTTAAGTTTTATGTTGACCAGCTTCTCGAAAGAAAAATAAAATTTCTAAGGAAGTCTGCAACGATCTAAACTTGATCGATGTCCGATGCATTTGTTTAAACTTGATCGATGTCCGTATCGCACCGACTGAAGTGCGAAACCACGTATCTCCATTGCGGTGTTTCAAAATTTCCGTTCTTAATTAATCCCTTCAATATTAAGCTTCAGTACGAATATATCTCAATATATTAAATTTGTAAGAATCTCTTTCATTAACATCGTAAATGCTCCGTCGAAACGAATACGGTAAGTCACGCACCAGTTTCATTTCGCCACGCCGTTCGATGCGCCGCAAGGAGGGGTTGCAAAAAACATGCCCACGCCTCGCAGGCCGCCCACGCTTTGAACACGGATTCTCCATGTCTGAAGACAAAAAAATTGCGAGACAACGACGGTCGACGGTGCACTACGCTTCCGCAGTAAATCCATCATCCACGGCCATTTCCAGGGAAACGAACGAACCGGGCAGCCGAGTCATCAGACCGAAGAAAAACAGGACGGGAAAAAGGAAAAACCGCGCATCTCCCGACGGGACAACCGTTTTTCCCGAGGGGGCGAGGGGGGCCGGGCACGCCGGCCGATCCCTATATTTTTCCCGCCGTCGGGGGACCGGGACGGTCGAGCCGGTACCACCCGCGCACGGATCGGCCCGACGGTTCGCGCTGAATTTTGACGCAAAGAAAAGGCTTACGGAATTATATGTGGTGATTCTTCATAAAGGACAAATATCCATGACGACGAACGCCTCGGGCAGCCGAGTCATCAGCTGACTGAGAACGAACAGCACGGGGAAAACGAAAAACCGCGCATCTCCCGGCGGGACGAACGGGATAAGCGATCTTTCGGAGGGCGCGAGGGGCGCAGGGCCCGACGCGCGATCCCCGTATTTTTCCCGACCCCGCGTGACCGGGACGGTCTCGCCGGCACCTCCGACGTCCCGGATCGGCACGACGGTCGCGGCGCAATTTCGAAACAGAAATCGGGCTTACGGAATTATATATGGAGATGATGATGATGATGATTGCTCAGCTCCAGCTCGAGACCTCGAGGTCCTTGCTCTTCTTCTTAGTCACAAATTCTGCGGGAGTTCTTCAAATTCTGAGATCACTTTTTCAAAGTAGCATACGTTGGCATAGAGTGACCCCAAACTGTTCGTCGCACGGTGAAATCTGGGCAAACATATTTTGGATAACTGCCCAGTCGCACAGTATGCAGGGTTGCCAGCCAGATTATTTCTTTCCATTCCCTGACTTTCCAATATTTTTCCTTGACTTTTAAGTATGGATCTGACGCAGTCAGTTTACAACTACTGGTTGAGAGGCTGTTAACGGGCTGATTTTCAACTGGTGCTTTTTCTGCCTGTTAGGTTTCAACTAGGACTTCAGACAAAACATTCGTTCCGGTTCTTCGCGTTTCACTAGTTCACGAAGAGCCTGATTTATTAACTACCCGGGCTCGGGTTGTGGACCGCGCCACCCGCACCCTCCTCTTTGCAAGGGTTGTTCTGTCGTCTCTTTCAACTGCTAATTGAATTTTCGGCAAAGGTTCCCAGACATTAGATACAACCTGATGTAGGATATGAGGGAACAAATCATGTTAATGCACTATTTGGCAAGTAGTCTTTGTTCAGTAACTAGAGGTTGAAAATCAGTGACAAGACTCTCCTTCAGGTAGAACTGGAAGTTACCTTTACCTGGTAGTTCGTCAACTAGCAGTTGAGACCCGATTTGACAGGAATAGCCCTTNAACGAAATGGGGCGGAGCGCCGTTTCTCACTTCGTCTCTCCACTCCCGATTTAATGCGTGTATTCAACCCCGAATATCTCAACTCTAATCCGAGTGAATTACCTAATTTTAGGGTTTTAGCCAGGTGATGAAGTACAACATAACCTACTTTAGTTTCATTAGTTTCGTCAAAATGTTTTAAGAGCCAATAACCCCCTACGGATGTGCAGGATTCTTTCACACCATGTGAAATCATTTAAGGGGTTTCTATAATATTCAAACTACTCATTAAAAAAGACTATCTAGGGAAAAAATAAAAGAGAAAAAGTGAAATCACGCAGAAATGCTCCAAAAGATTTCTCTGGATAGTAGGCTTCAGAGAGCCTTATCATCATATATAGATCAATAAAGGACAAAGTGTGAGAGTAGTCTTTTAGTTCCATAAGATTTGAGGAACCTTGTGTTGTCAAAAATTGAATCAGGAGTTTTCAGTAGACCAGTAACCAGTAGACTAATACCAAGGCACATTTTAGAATTGCAGTGCTTTATACTGCTCCGCACTGCTCAAATTGGTGAAGGGTGGCAATTTTACATCTGATTTTTTTGAGGTCGAATAGAAACTGAATCGATATTTAGAGCCGAAATGAAATTGAAAAGTAAAATCGCCTCCGTATTCTGGGTATATTTGTTAAGTAATGTGTTAATAATAATTTTAAAAAAGAAAAGAAAAGAGAGAGAAAATAAATAGGCCAGAAAGTGAAAACTGGAGGATATACCGAGAGAAATTGACTTAAAAGAAATCGATATTTTTCGCACCTGATTTCTTAAATCAAATTTTACAATTGATTCCGCTTTTTGCATGAAATTGATTTACTCTGAAAAATCGCCAGTCTTAAAAAAGAATCTCTTCTACTCCAACTCAAACACATACTTCTATTCTTATCCCTTAGTCAACCTCCCACTCTTTCAAAGTGGAACAGAGAGAAAACATTTGATTGATGCTGGATAGGAGAAGAAATCTTCTTGACGAACATTTTTTTTTTCTTTTACTACTTTAAATAGCCCACAAGGGCTAATAATCCTACGCTTTGGTCCCGTCCCCCCTCTGTCCCTAACAACCAGTCCCAGGCAACCATTGTTTGAGACCATCAAACTCGGGTCGCCTGGCCGGAAATTGAATCTGGAACCTCCTGACCATAGAGCTAGTGCTACAACCACTACACCATAGGAGGCCAACATAACATAGACTAAAAGAAGGGCAGAGAAGAAAATACGTTTAAAACATGTAATGTCGTGGGTGCAAAGATTGATTGCACAAATAAAAAAACATATAAGCTTTTTTAGAGTACTTTTGTTTCTTATTCGTACCATGCAGACAACACATGGGTCTCAAAACGAACAGTAGGTACCAACTGAAAGAACCGTAATAACAATATCAAGAATACTGATCAAGAGAGAATTCACAAAAAATAATAATTGTGCCTAATTACACGCTTTGCGATATAAAATTTGAGGCAGTAATCATCGAGAAAATTAAACAAATCCTTAAGAAAACTACGGAAACGACCTTTGGAAAACAATACACACACTGGAGTTACTCAATGCATTTTTCAGTCTAATAACAGTTTTGAAACGTAAAAATAAGAATGAGAGAATTCTTCAAGTCCGTGCAAAATTGTACATCAAATAACTACATATGATACAATTCCATAATATACAGTATTACACAATTATTTACAGAGGATTAAAAAACAAGTATATAAATTATTGGAAAGAATTACATTTGAATTGATGACAAACTCCAGGTATTTTACATCATTAAATAAAAAGAGAGGAAGATAAGGACCGTTCAAGGAACAGAGGAATTCTTACAGACTTCATCTCTCATCTTCTTCCATTATCAAGAAACATTACTTTTGACAAAAAATGTTACTGCCATTTCATGAGCTCTGATGTCCTAATCATTTATTAGGAAAATTCCTTACCCCAAAGAACCAAAAAATCAGATTTTCATTTTACCATTAGCTCTAGGCCTTAGCTGCACACAGAAGCCTCTTGCTGTTATACGCTTCAAGTGTGGTGAAACACTTTGTAGTATTCATTCACTCAAGACACCATGAGGGAGTCTGAGCTGTTGTCATACAATGTTGTTTCTTATTAAGGGGGAAAGGGATAGGAAAAAAAAATTCCTTCCTTGATTGAAGCTGAAGATTCAGGACATAAAGAGTGATCCAAAAGCTGTGATATCGTTTTGACAGATCAATCGGCAAAAAAAGTATTTGGGTGGTGCAGGCCTTTTGAACCACCTTGCGCATTTGCTGCGATGAGAGGAGACTACGGAGATTTAGTAATATTTTGCACCCAGAATGATGAATATCAAAACAACATTAGTCAAAGATGATGAGTGTATCCCTACATATTTGTGGCTACTTCAAAGTTATCGAAAAAAATCTTTATGATCAATGTTAATAGACACATGTGCCAAAGGAGTGTATGCATGTCACAAAGATTCTATTTTTTGGTGTGAAAATTCAAAGAAGCATGTTTTTGTACTTGGTAGATACAACTGCATATAAATACAAAATATTTCGCAACTTGGGTAATCGCAGACATAAATGAACGTTGACAGCAGAATGCTCTCTGCAGCAGATGTATCTAATTACATCATCCTCTCCATGCATTTCAAGCAGTAATGATAATCCTTCATTAACGACTGGATATGGGGGCCATATAAGAAACAAAGCGCTCACTTAGGATGGATAATTAACCAAAGGGTAAGTAGATCAGAGATCAATAAGGATCAAAAGGGAAAGTAAGGTGCCGGGAATGGGAATTCTAGAGAAAATTTCTGGCCATATACTGCGGTGTTGTAGTGACATACATAGAGGCCTTTTTAGTTTGCCTTATAGGTAGTCATAGAATACTGTCAGATTCTGAGAAACAGATCCTCTGGAAAACATGTTGGACGGAGGTATAGGGGGGAAATGAGGACATTCCCAGTTTCCTCACTGAGTTCCTAGAGTCACTATTAGAACTCACAAACTGGCTGCGGTAGACGCACAAATCGTATAGACAGTAAGTTGGAGATGTAGCCAACATGCGTTACGTTTCAGAGAACTGAAACTCACAATACAGAGGGAAAACCTCATCCAAGCAAAATTTTTCCTATAGGAGATACGCTGTTTGGTGCACCACGAGTTATTGAGATTTTTAGTTTTCTGGATTGTAACACATGTTGGCTACATCTCCAACTTCTTGATTATTAGAACTGTAATTTACACAAGCAAATACATTGTATTAAGTCAAGAAGAGACTCAAAACATATTAAATAATCTGATTTCATTCATATAGTGCCTAAGGATTTCTCAAAATTCCATGGAAATAAGATAAACAGGAGATAGATATTCTGAGTTTCCTTGGATTGATCACCAGTGTATGAAAATTTTGAAGGAAAATTAAGGCGAGTTTGAGGGTGTGACAGTCAGCATTTGAAATGAAATAGTGATGGACCAACCATAGATTGGATGAAATTTAAAAGGGAACAGAAGTTGGAGAGGAGGGAATAGGTATGAAGCAACTGCATTTTTGAAAGCAACGCAGAGAAGCACATATAGAGAACTTGTTGGCAGATATTGAGTGATCCCGCATGAAACATCTCTGCTTAGGCATTTTGGGAAGAGGAACCAAATAAATACTGTATTTGCTGACAAGTTTTGACAATGCTCAAGTGCTGTTTTTCAAAATACAGTGTCTTCATAGCCGAGAATAGAAATACCTACAACAGTTCATGTGCTGATCTCCAATAACCTTGCGTACTCTGGTTCGTTTCGGCACAGTGACATCTACTTGAGGCATAGAATACAGGAAGGGCATTTTTCAGAAAATCTTGTTTCAAGATATACGCAATTGAAAGTTCCAATTTTGTTTCTGTCAACATGTTTGGCCAGACTTGGCTGAATTGATCATTCCATCAAAATATGAGTCCCATGAAAGATGATGAAAGTTGTAACCCTTGTTTGATAGACATTTTGCAATTGAAGTGAATAACTAAGCTGCCAAATGCAGTGCCCTTCTTCCATAAAACAAGTTGAGTATTTCAGAACAATTACGTCCCCCGACTAACTTGACATTCTTTAGAAACATTGGGTCCTCCAACATACTGAAATGTAATTTCTAAGAATAAACATATTTGCTCCTTTCGACTCATTTTCCACCTCTTTATTCCTGTACTTTGTGCATGTGCCTATAAAACATTGGATACATTTTTGAATGCAAAGATAGAAGCAAAAAACGCATTTTAAAATGATGTTAAAGTAGCGTGTCGACAAATGAAGGGGTACATGCAAAATGGGCCACTTCAGGCTCGGGGCGGATACCTTTGAGATTTGCCCTATTCATTCACCAAACAATGCCCCATTTTCCCCAAAGTTTCTAGCCCCCCCCCCCCCCCAAACACTTTGGGAAGACGCAGCGGGGGGTCAAAGTTAAAAATCAGCGACATTTCTGCGAATTTGTTGAAAGAAATGTTTTAGTCGCGAGTTACAGAGCGGAAAGGAGCGAAGGTCAGAAGAATCGGCTGTTTGAAACTGCGCGCGCGGCGCCGGACCGTAGAACACATGGCAACAATGCGAGTTCGGCCGAGAAGGGCGATTCCTAGAACTGAGCGGGAGGGGACGTTCTACTTCCGATCAACGCCGCGCGCGCAGTTTAAAATAGCCGATTCTCCCGATCTTCGCTCCTTTTCGCTCTTATAACTCGCGACCAAAACATTTCCCCAGCATACGGTAAAGAGCTAGAGGGGCTACCGAGAGTCAGGGACAACATATAAGTTTTTCATCAAAATTAAAAAAATGACTTTTTTTTAAATCAGCTCGGACGTGAAAAAAAGGGGGTCTTTTCTTAGCGTTTCGGCGCTTCAGAGGCGATGACTCAAGCAGAGGTTGACAAAACCCTATGATGCTATACAGTTTCTGAAAGCTCTTGTCATGCTGGAAATGCTCATATACACCGCATATTTCAAACTTCTTGGTTTTCGACTGACAAATTCGCAAAAATGTTACTAGTTTTTTACTTGGACCCCCACGCCATATCTCTCCATAAACTTTTGGGGGGCTTGAAACTTTAGGGAAAATGGGGCATCGTTTGGTGAATGATTAGGGAAAGTCTCAAAGGTATCCTCCCCGAGCCTGAAATGGAGAAATCTAGCAATTTCACAGTTACGTTAATTGAGGGGCTTGGAAAACAAGGCGCATAAGTGCAATTATTGAAATTCAAGACTAGAGATTAGAGCCCAGCTGCCTTAGCTGCGTGCCATAGCTCGTTATTCTTGTATTTCAATGGGTGAGATACACGAAAACGACTGGACCTCACTAAAAGCACAGTAGATAAAACAGGAAGGAAAGACAAAGGGGAAACAGAAATCCGGACCATTTCGAGTTTTTCCGTGTTGAAAAAGAAAGAATGGAAATAAAATTGAAAGTGTGTACTCAGAAGCATGTCTTTGATCAAAATTGAGTTGTGCATGTTTTTTGGTAGCTGAAGGCAAGGTCTATCAGAATACCAAGCGATTTTGTCTGGAAGTCATTTGACAACAGCGATTGGGATTAGTGCATTTTTCGTTTAGAGATGATGCGGGATAAGTGCGACCTACCCTCTCTTCAAACCCAACTGCTGGCCTTAACTTGGCTCAACTGAGCTGAAAACTTCAGAAGATGTTCATGAAGATGTGAGACAAACACCTGTAAATTTTGAGGGCATTTGGAGCAGGTCTATAGGTCCGAGTAAAATCCAGAGCTTTGAACTCGTTTTTTTAAATTAATAAAAACTCCACTAATGCGCCTTGTCTTCCAAGCTCTCCAATAACACTTTTCACAATGCACAATTACAGTGGGTGGAAATATCTGACACATGGCTATTAAAATTAGTGAACGCAGTGTGTAGAAAATTAGCATTTGTTTGAAGAATAATGAGCATATCTCATGTAAAAAGTCAACTTAGTGTTAACCATTCTACACTTAAAACGTTGAACTGTTTTTCCCCAGACCCTCTACAACATGCAATGTAAAATACTGCGGGTGTTCAGGTCTTTGAGAATGCTTCAAGATCAACCTTGATAATATTTGAAGGATCAGGAGATGATCGATTTTGGGTAACATCCTTCCCACATAATATGATGAGACTAAAACGGAGGAAAGGTAAGAGAAAACTTTCTCGACAAATAGGCTATAAAAATGGGCTAAAAATGTCAATAGATATAAAAATAATTAAGTAAACAAGGAACCTAAAAATTGATTATCAGAAAGTACAAAGTTATATATAATAAATTTCAGACAGTTCAATTCAGTGTTGGATAAGAAAAGATTTGACTATTTGAAATTGTGAATTTCATCTTAATTTACTACCCCACTTTTTTCGCTTCTTCGGGTGCTTCTTATAAACAGATTGTTTTTCAGGCGATGAATTGGTATTGGAACTACGTAGTCTCCTAGCCAACAAACATGATTTGGATTTCAGGCTTAACCTATTTAAGGATATTTCGGAAGAGTCTTCAGAGTCTACACTTTGCACTTGGGATGGATTGAAATACCGTTTTTTCTTTTCCATATCAAGTATAGACTTCTCACTTAAACTTTCACAATTATTAACATTAAAGATCAAGGGTTCTTTGTCATTGAAACTACTTTCAACAACCACACTATGTTCTTCTTTTGTACTTTTGTCCATGTAGCAGAACTCCTGCCTTAAAGTTTTGCGCTTTTGATTTCTGAGAGGCCATCCTGTCATGTTGGGTCTTTTGCGTTTCCTCTTCCGAGAAACAGTGCGGCCATCTTCCATGAACCCAAGTGTTTCACAAGTCGAAGATGCTCCACAGTCTGAGCTGTTGCATGAGCCGTCAAAATTGCCAAAATTCCGGAGGAGATCCACAGTCTTATGGCTCTGTTCTAAACTAACACGATCCATACTGCAACAATACGCAGAACTGGTGACTAACTGTGATACATCGGAAATAGGGCCGGGCCTCAAGGAGAAGTCTATAGGAATTTCATCTTCTTGTGTAAGTATTGATGGATCCACATCCATACAAATTGGCAAACGGACAATAGAGGAAATGTCTTCAAGACTCCTTGACTTATGTCTTTTCAAGGGTTTCGATAAAGATTTAAGTGATGATTGACAGTTAATGCTACCATTATTATTACTATTGCTCACTGGAGTCTCATAATATTTTGCCAGGAGGGTAATTACTTCATGGTACCTATCATTCACATTGTTTGAAATGCACAGTTTTTCTACTTCTTCTTTAAAATTTCTTAGGGTTTCTTCTAAATTTTCATTATCGTGAACTAGATCCAAACTTTCAATCAGACTTGATCTAGTGTTCTCATCATCCGTCAAAAAGTGTGGCACATCCCCTTCTTCTTTAGGTTTTTCAGGTGAATCTCTGGGCCTCCTTCGATTGGTGACAGTAGATAGAATAGCCAATGTGGAGGCATGACATCGGGGTGACTTTCTTGGCCTGCCATCATCATGAATCAAAACCGATTTTTTACCTCTGCACTTCAAACCATTTCTGCTCGGTAGGACTTTCTGTATTGGAGATGAATTGGCAAACTTGACCTTGGAAACTTTATTTTTTGGTTTTTCAAATGGTAACACCTTAGAATCATAGCTATAAATATCAGGAGGATACGAATCTTCTTCAAGATTGTGCTGCCGAATGAAAGGCTTAAGCCAAAGCTCTGAGTCCCTATCCACTTCGAAGGAGAAAGTGATTTTTCTGAAATCATCATCTTGAATTGTGGGTATTCTATCACAGTCTTTCTTTTCGTCTTTAATATTCTTGCAGTTTTGGTTGAAATGCTGTTTTGAGTCAAAACCATCATTGTCATACTCTTTTTTTATTTCATCTTTGCATCCATCAGCATGGCTACTGTTAATTCTTAACCTTGAGTCAGATATTTCAAACTTGTAATAGTCTAGGTTGTCATGAATGAATGCTTCAGCGTGGGTTCGACGCTTTGAGTACTTTTTTCTCCTGTTAAAAGATTTACTGATTTCCCGTTTGACATTATCCTTGCAATCCCCATTTTCATGTGGAGAGTCATTTTCATCTTCAGAACTTGTTTCGCTCAAGGGACGTTTCGGCTCTCCGAACATAAAGTTTTCAGCTTCATTGCTCAACAGGTTCAATTCCGTTCTCCTAACTTTGTGGAGCCTCACCACTATTGGCTCCTTATCATCAACTGAGCTTTTATTATCTTTGGTTCTGTCATGGCTTTCCGTATCCGAATCATTGGTCACAGAACCTGCAGAGCGTAACTTCGAATGTAGAACTTCAACTTTATAATATGATTTGTTGTCCTCAAGTAGTTTCTCTTCACCTGACAAACGCTTCACCTTGGTCTCATTTCTCTTGGAGATTTGCTTAGCTTTTGGTTCATTACAGTTATTGATACTTTGATTTTCTGCAGTACTTAAGAGGCCCCAGTTACTACGCTGGGATCGTGAGCGGCAGGAGAGATCTTTAGTTGAGCCTGGGTATGATGCAGAGACGCTCCGCATGCTCCTGAGAGATAGAGCTCCCTGCGTACTTCCCACGAGAGCGCTGTCACTCTTGGCACCTTCATTGCAGTGCTCCATTCCATTGCACTGCACCTATAACAATACAACTCTAGTTAGAGATAAGTACTTGTAGCAATTTCTATACATCACAAAAGCGATAGTTATGATTCTAATTCCAGTGGTGCCCTACACAGCTAGTACGATATACATACATATGTATGATTGCCCATTGAGAATGGCAAGCCAATAATCAAGTACAAATTTTGGTTGGTTTAAAGACAATTTCGGTATATTTTTTGGCAACTGTACATTACTCAAACCCTGCAGTTTACTCTTCCACCTACTTCAATTTGAAGATCGTGGCAAATTAATTAGTTATTCACTTCACTTATTTTTTATTTTTCAACAGTGTACAGGCGAACCCATTATCTAAAACCAAATTAAAAAAATCAATACAGGCTTTGGGAATGGATCAGTTGCGCAGATCACAGAATCGTATTTTGATGATTGATTCTTGCAGATTAGCTGAAAATAATAAGATCCAACAGCAACTTCCTGCGTTTAATACTGACCAAGCTATGGTGCTATGAAAAGTCTGGTTTTTGACGTGATCCACAGGGGTAATGACAGCCTTGGTTTCTTCCTATTTTGTTCGATCAGTGATGCAAAGGGCTCAACGCGAAATTTCAACAACATTAACATAAAGAGACTGTAATGAGCTGACTGAACGCGTAACCTCTTTGTGGCGAGTGCATTACCTCCTGATGAGAAGATCCTTGAATTGCAAATCTGTTTGTTCCTTGAGTCTGTTTATGTTTAATGTTGTTGAAGTTTTGCATTGCACCCTTTGCATCACTGATCAAACAACTTTACAACTTTTGATCAGCATCTCGAGGAGAATCGAATGACACAAATAAATTAACGTTCCTTCATGGTGCAACTTCCCATAAGAGGTGTGCGGGGTCCGTATATGAAATATTCTTTCCATTACAAAATTAAACCTCTCATAGCGTATCGACTTCTCAGTAAGCAGGTGTTGAGTAGCACCTGGGATTTTGGTCGTTATTGGAATTAGTTTCAGTAATATTTATTTTGAACCTTTAATTTGCTATTCAAAATTATGTGCACCTAATGAGTCGCACGGATTATGTGACATAATTAGAGGTCACATAATTAAATAAAATATCAATATGAAAGTCAGGTAAAATACTTTGTGTCCCTTTCTACTGTATTCTCTCTCTAATATGAAGACCACCGCTTTTCAATGGTGTGGACAGTTTCGGTGAGCACCCTCTCTAATAAAAAGACCATCTAATAAGTCTAGCAAAAGTGTGCTTGGAGATTGCATCGCCTCTCAGCCATTTTAACCATCATTCTACAGGATCGCCAGTGAATGTGATCTACCTTTGGGTATGAGTTTCACCATTTTCTGGTGAAATTTGTGTGAATTTTCAGCATATTTGGTATTCAAAAGAACTCCTCAAAGATAAGTTGTGCCTCTTTCCTGCTAACATGGACACACTTTAAATACTCTTAAGATAGGTCTCGACTTATGAACACTGAGAATGAGGTTGCATTCACTAATTGTCTCTAGAAAATTATTTATCCTTGTTCGTTGTTTATGCTGATTTGTTCACACCTGTAGGGGCTCCTTGCAATTGTCATTGCTGCTAAGAAGTCGAGAAGTTGACCTGGTAGCATGATACCCATTGAGCAAGACAGGAGGTGGAGGTGACGGTCGACTCTGCTTGTTCCCCATTGACGATGGCAGTGGAGGGAGAGAGCAAGGGGACGGCAGATCTTTGACACCACTGCGTAGAGCTCGGCGGCATGAGGAGGCGGTTGTGATTGATAAACTTGGACTGGAAAAGTTGAAAATAATAAAGATTAGGAATGGAGTAGAATTAACCTGAAGACTATGATTTTGAAGGCTATGACTGAAATGATTCTTGTCCAGCTAAATTGTATAGATAACAGATATTAGGTACAACTTTGAATAATATGAAAGAACTGTATCATTGAGGTCTATTCCATTAGTTCCAAGACAAAGCGGAAAGGTAATGAAATGATTTTTGCACCACGATATTGTGCAAAAACTGAATGTACTATGAGTTAACTTTGAAAACTTCCAGTCCAAACAAGGACAAAAATTCAATCATTTTAATACTAGAAAGGAAGAGGACGAAACTTAAAATTTGACAGTGACAAGTCTAGGACTTGTCCAATTCCCTATGAGGAAGGCCCTAGGAGGCTTTGAGACCATAAGATTCATTATTCCTAGGGTCAATTACCAACGAAAATACCTATTCCCGGTCTCTTTGTATTTTGAGACCTCTCATATCATCTCAATGGTCGGGAGACAGGGCATCAAGAGGCATGCCCTGTCTCCCGACTTAAAGGGTCATAAATTTCAAACAAAGATAGGCCGCTTTAGAACTTTTCGGATATAGGTATCAATTTTGATCAAATTCGTACTTTTATAGGTTGAAAGTTTTGAAGATTGTACTCAAGATTGAGGCTTGGTCGATGCAGATCTTCAACATGGACAACTTGTAATCGTCCTGAATTCTCATACATTTCCTCCAATTCTTCTTGAAGTTTTTCTTACAATTGAAATTAATAAAATTCGGTATGAGACCACAATCCTTACAACATAGAAGGAAGACAATCCTACAACCTGCATCTACCCAAACCTATGTTCAACCGGTTTTACAGTACTTTAACAGCTTGAATCCTCATATACGGTTCATTATAGAAATGGAAAATAATCGCCGAATTGATTTCTTAGACATGACCCTCATTTGAGTGGATTGCACGGTAGGAGTGATTGAAATTCCTGACTTGAGCGCTATACAATCCGAACAGAGAAAAAAGGTGGCCAAGTTGCACGTAATTTACGGGAGGAATCGTCCGCAGCCGTAATTCCATCGGAAACATGGCGCTCAAGTCCTTCAAGGAATGTATGGTAAAAAACGCGCGTTCGCCCTACCTATTTAATTAACAAGCAAAACATACTCGCTTCCAATCCTAGGTAGGGCGAACGCGCGTTTTTTACCATACATTCTTATCAGTCGTACTATTATGATCTTCGTTTTATTAAATAAACTTTTCACACCTAATTTCTGTTCCAGGACTAGAAATAAACGGAAATAGACACCTTCCTTGCCTTGTTAGGTGAATTTTTTTTTAAAAAAATGCACCCTTCCACCTTTCAAATGTAGCGGCCCTCTGGGATTTGGGGCACCCCCTTCAACCAGCGGGCTTTTTCGACTTGATACATGAAATCTAGAATCAAAATTACATAGGAATTGATACACCTCACTCGCCTTTTTCGTAAAAATCTAAAAAATGCACCCCTACTGCCTCTCAAATTTAGCCGCCCCCTGGGATTTAGAGCACCCCCTTTGACCGGGGAGCTATTTTCACATCAATAATAAAATCCACGACCAATAATACGTAGGAAATGATACCTCACTTGCCCAATCACGTAAAAGTTCAAAAATGACCTCACTTGCCTTTCAAATTTAGTCGCCATCTTGGATTTGGGGCACCCCTTTTGACCCGGGGGCTTTTTTGACTTCATATATAAAATCTGCGACGAAAATTACATAGGAAAGGATACCGCACATGACACTATAGGAACATTTTCAAATACCGAAATCCCATGCGGCCTTCATACGGCCATTTCGATTTTAGGCATATTGGGGGGTGCTCCGGGGTCGGACCATGGTAAACTTTTAGTATGTTGTTCAGGAAGATCTACTGATGACGTTTCCACAGGAAAAGTGTGGTATGCAATTTGTTCCGGGTCAAACCGTATTCCTCTCTGACCAACGGGCTAGAGATAACATTTTTATAATTATGGCAACAAGGGATAGGGGTGGAATGAGAGGGGGTTGTTCTCATACTTTTATTGAACAAGTAGATACTCCCAATTTCATAATTATATGTTAAAAATAAGATCCTGGAGAAATTTTAGATTTTAACAAGTGGGTACGCGTTGAGTCGCAAGGATCTGCCGCTCTCGCGCGGAAAAAAATCCCGGGATTTTTGCGCGTAGTTTGGCAACAAATCATCGTACAAATTTTGTTGATATGCCGTTTTAAGGCTTAAACAATTTTTACAACTTTTGTAAAAGACATTTTTTCCGATTTCCATCGATTTGGGACCTGAAATCAGCTTTAAGGATTTTTAGAAAAAACATATTTTCTATTTTTCGTAAATTTGACAACTATGGTAATTTTTTCTTCAAAAGTAGTTGTCGTTAACGTGTACCTGACTCAATTTCTGACAATTTAAAAAAAACGACCTCAATACGATAATTTGCTGCCCAGTTATGTGCGTTTGAAAATTGGCGAATTTTCAGGAGTTCCCTGATTTTTCAAGGCTTTCCGCTCGTCGGAAAGTTGGGGAATTTCGAGACACTACACTCCTACTGGGGTACATTAACGCCTTTTAGTTGGAATTTGCTTCCGATTTTTTTCCACCTAAGAAGCTAGATTGTCTGGACTAATTCGGATTGTAAAGCGCTCAAGTCGGGAATGGTATGCAATGGTATGCAAATGGTACCAAAAGTCATCGTCATGTGGCAGGTACTTGAATTTTCTGTCAGTTCTGCTATACAGTTGCAAGAAGAACCTTGCAGTAAACTTAGTTAAGTGCATTCTTAGCCTCACTCATGTGTAGTTTCGGGAACGAGGAGAACGGGAAATAGGGTATTGGCTGAAAATTGCTAGCCTGCAGCTTTAATTTGTTCGGTGTTCAGTAGCTTTAAACTCAATGAACAACAGTCCATCTCCAAAACTACCTCGTCCTGGCACCGATCTGTCAAAGTGTGTTGCCCTTCCATACGTGCCACTCTTGTCCGAAAATCTTGGTTTGTTTTTGAAAAATTTTGGCTTTTAAGTACGTGGGGTGGATTTTTAAGTAAGTTTACCTACTTGATATTTATAAAACTATTGATGTTAGAAAGAAAACCAGACCAACTTTAGAATGAGCATATTCTCAGCATTCTGACAAGCTACTGTTTTTTAAATTTAATGCACAGATTTTCCACACCCACTTCATGTCCAAACCAGCCCACGCACCATGCCACTCTGTAGGGTTTATGAGGAAACGTAAGTGTAAGTCCGTGAAGAAGTAAAAGCAATTTATTATTTTGGTATTTAAGTTATGAAACTGATTGAAGACTTTTCACCTTACTTCTCGACGTAATCACCTGCCCGATCCTTGCATTTATGAAAACGGTAGCGACTTCTTCACCCCGGTCTCTTAAAAGTCAGTCCCATTAGCCTGCAGCCAGTAGTTGACACACTCAGAAACTTCTTTGTCTGGGTGATTTTAATCTTTTCCAGAGTTAAAACATTATCTGGTAGTATTCTTTTGGTGTTTTTGTGAAAATTCTGTACCAAAAGAATAAATTGCTTTTACTTCTACACGAACTTACACTCGCAGTTTTTCTTAAACTCTACAGCGTGGTAAAAGTGGGCACGTTTGGACATGAGGTGGGAATGGAAAATCTGTCATGACTTCGTACAACGTGCATCAAATTTTAAAAACTATTGCTTGTTAGAAAGCTGAGGATATGCTTGTTCTGAAGCTCATCTGGCTTTTTTTCGAACATCAATAGTTTTAGAAATATTAAATGGGTTAACTTACTTAAAAATCCATTCTCGCAGTTCATAAGAAATACAATACCCTCCAGTGTCTCGTGTCTCGTTTGAAAGCCCCGATTCTGACCTCCCAGGTCTAGAATGTAGGATATAAGGTTGATTGCTCCAACTGCGTAGTGGGTTACATGGGACAAACCACGCAACAGCTAGGTAAACACATGAATGGCCATAATACAACTCCTAAGAAAAAACTGCTCAGCACGATCAACAGAGCAACATAGGAAATGTGTTTGATTTTGATAAAGTTAAAATCTTGACGCGCAAGGTTAATGATTTTGCCTGGTTGTTATCAGAAATGATGCATATCATAAAAAAGAAAGACTCCGTGTGCAATTATTACATGGTTGTGGATAAGCAAAGTGCCACCAATCATCAATTTTTTCTACCATCATGAATCACCCTGTTCTGTATTGGGTCTGCATTTTAGAAGTATCCTAAGCTTGTATGGCTGTTGTTTTTCATGGTCAGTCTCTGCTGCCATTGTTGGCCGCAATGACTTGTTGTTTTTATTATAGTTTAGGGGATAAGCATTAGCATTTAAGTCAGCTAAAAAAGGGGTCAGTATCACCCGTTTTCTGAGTAAAGCTTTTACCTCTATATTATTTGTTCTCTCATCATTTCAGACAGCTTTTAACGTCCCAGACTCCTCAGTTTTCCTTCAAAACATTGTGTGGCTTGTGTTTCACCTGTTTATATTTCTAGGACTTGAAGATTTAAAGAGCGTTACTGAGAAAAAATATTTGAAGCTTTTTTGCCCCTTCAATATGTCCTTTTCCGGTGTCTTACTGAAATTAAGAGGTATCTTTAAAAATTAGAACACTTCTCCAGTTTTCATAAATTTTGAGAATTTGTGCTGAAAAAATCTCATATTACCTCATTTTTCATTCCGTCTCTGTGTGCTGCCCTTGTTGTTGCGGAGTTTAAGAACATCTTGATTTCCTTTCAGTATGGGTGTACTCTTAGGGTGCGTCAAAAAAATTGAGGGTCGAAAATGTTCCGCTGCCCAAGCGGCAATCAATGCCACTTGGTAAAAAAACAATTTTGCCAAAATTAGGGCTGATTTCAACAAATTGAACTGGTGCCAAAGGTCAATTTTGGGATGAAATTCTGATTTTTAGGTGTAGACATCGATTTCGTAAAAAACGGTCAATTTCACGCTGATGACTCATGAAACGGTGACATGTTAGAAATATCAGCACGGCATTCAGATGGAGCTCTGTCAAAGTTTGAGAAGAATCTGAATCATCGATCAGAACCACGATATTTTTGCCAAATTTTTAAGTAGCAAAAATGTCCTTAGCTTTAAGGTATGTTTGGGTTGTAAATATGTAATAAATTTAATGAATAATCATCTGTATAATGTTGTGGTAACTTCTCATGCATTACTCATTATTTCTTTCTTCAATAGGAATGCCTTTAGTCATGGAGGGGTCAAGGCAATTGGCTTGTTCATCTAATTACCTGTGCTCCTGACACAGCTTTTCTTCACATAAATAATTTAACTTTTTGGCTTTTGGTTCCTTCCTTAATTTTTGTGCTGGTAAGAATATTAACAGGGACGGGAGCTGATACTGGTTGAACCGTTTATGCTCCCCTATGCTTGAGTGGATCTTATTGAGTATCATCGACTGATCTGTTGATTTTCTTGTTCATGTTTGAATTTGTATGAAATAAGGAGGCTCGGTGTCATTCACTATTCGCTTCAATGTGACACATGGATGATGGAAGTGCTTAGAAGTGAAGAGAAGAATGCAAGAGTTCAGTGAGATAGTAAATCTAAAAGCTCAATTAATGTGGCATTGAACAATTGAAGAAATTAACAAAATAAGGATACCGAAAGGGAATTTGAAGCGTACTGATGTCTTCTGAGGTCTGAGGTTCAGTTCTTTAAGCTCACTGGGGGCTCACGCAAAATCGGAAAAAGTACACCCATCCTGACAGAAAATTGAGATGTCAGCGTTTTTAAACTCAGCAATGGTGGGCAGCACACCGAGCCAGCATCAATTATGTCACAGACTCATATGGTAAAATTTTTTGGTAAGATATTTCCTACAAAAATTAGAAATATTCCAAAAATTTTCGAAAACCGATTAAGTGTTCTATTTTTTTAAAATACCTCTAGAATAAATTAGGACACTTTAAAAAGACATTAAAACAGCAAAAAAACTTCAAATAATGTTTTTCTGAGAAATATTTTTTCATCTTCCAGTCTTAGAGACACCGACAGGTGAAACGAAAGTCGGCGCACAATACTTTGAAGAAAAACCAGGCAGTCAGGGACCTTAAAAGGTGTCTGAAATGATCAGGAAACACATAATATCAAGGGCAAACCGATGAGTTATCAGAAAATGACTGATAAAAACCCAAGAAAGCTGACCGTTCAAAAAATGTACCGGCTATGTATTGGTAGATGTATCAGTGTAAATGTATCGGTAAAAGCATCGGCTTTGCTAACAAGTTCCGTTGGAGAAAGCGAACTCCTTCGCGACAAGTTCTCGGATCTTGAACAAAGACGCTCTACCTGCCGTCCGAGTTCTGCATCAGTAATCATAACCCAAACTAGTAGCGGCTTCATTGAGAATGTTAACAAATATAAACTTCTATTTGGCTTTGAACTATTTTTGCTGGTTAGAGGCAGGCTATAAAATGGAATACCTGTCTGACTACTTTTCTTGAATAAAAAATCATCAACAAATTTAGCAAAGCATTTGTATCACCAAGCTATTAAGGAGAAACTTTTTTTTATTAAAGTAATGGACAGTCAGTAATAGGTGATAAAATTGCTTGTTAATCTTACCTGCAAAAAGAAGGCATAGGAAAGACAAGTTAGTAGTCCTCACAACCCTGAAAGTTCTCTAAAATCTGGAAATTTAAAAGAAAAGCTTTCATTATACAAGACATTGCTGAAAAACTTGGTATACTACACTGTAATAATAGCCAATAGCTACTCATAGCAAAAATATCTTATTACACTCAATCTTTTTATTAGTATGTATGTAGTAGACAAATCCCGTAATTTGGACACATCGCAATCTGTCTAGACAAATCGCGATTTGTCTAGCGCCGTTTAGACAAATCCCAAATTTGAAAAATAGATCAGGATTTGTCCAGACAAATCGCGAAGTGGCCGGACACTTCACGATCTGTCTTCCGACTCTATGGACAAATCGTTAAAAGTAATATCAGAAGAAATACGAAAATATAATAAAATAAAATACGATCGAAAGAAAAATGAAAGAAGGAGTTAAACACTTATCTCTTAACTAAAAAATGTGTTGATCCAATGTGTTTCTTATTTTACACTTTTGAAACTGCTTAAAATTTATTTTAAAAATAGTAATTGTTGTATTAAAAATTATTTTAAAAATTTAAAAAAATTAGAAAAACTAGGGTCTCACGTTATTTGTTGGTGCAAGTCATCACACCATGGCACATAGAGTTGCACAACACGTTTGCTTTCTTGCACTTGCATCGGTTTGTCTCGCACTTAGTTTTGCACTGACAATAAAAGAATCCTTGGCCTCCGGTCAGAGATGTTTGAAGGCTGACACTGCCGATGCGTATTAATTCATCGTATTTAAAACTCGGGAAAAAATTACTAGACGCACTCTTAACACACTTTGCTAACTTATCGTTGAATTTCTCGCGTAAGTTATTCAATTCACTTTATTCGTTTGACATCTTCGCAGTCACTGAGCTGAGCAGCGATCACCAAAACAATGCACCTGCACCTGTTTGAACTTGAACTTTGTACCTCTCGCCGTTTCGTGGTCCCTGCATTGCTGCCACAATACTACTTGTTTACGCACTTCTCGTCTCGGGTCACCCATTCACCGGTTTTACCGATTTGTCCAAAGAGTCGGAAGACGGATCGCGAAGTGGCCGGCCACTTCGCGATGTATCTGGACAAATCCCGATATATTTTTCAAAATCGGGATTTGTCTAGACAGATCGCGATGTGTCCAAATTACGGGAATTGTCTACAACATGTATGGTGGCAGGACCTAGTTTGAGTTGGCAATGAAAATAGTTTGAAAAAAAGACAGCTGGAACTTGTGTCAGCAATAAGACGCGCATATTGCAACATGCCGTTAATAATCTCACTTTCTCTTTCATCTAAAAATGTCTAATTGACGCTAAAAAATTTAATTTTGATGTTGTTCACACCTGCTACAGTAATTAATTATTTTTTTGGCCTCCTTCGAAATCTAAAATATCAACTTACCGACTACCGCACATGGTTTATGGACTTAAATGTTTCAATTTTGATGCCATTCACATAAGACATACACACCAGTATCTCACAAAACGACGCTACAGCCATAAATATGATGAAAAGGAAGTCATTGCGTTACACCAACACAAGAACCGGATTGGTCATTATTTTGGTATTGCTAACACCAAAGTTCTGGTTAACAAAACTAATGATTAAGGCAGAACTTTATCAGAAATGATTCATGTTATGGTGAGCAACGGCAGAATAACTTCCACACTGATGTAAGAAAGCTAGGGGTAGCCTAAAACCAGGTTTTTAAATGATACGAGACCATTCTATCATCTCTTCTGGCCTGTTTCTGCATCAAAATTGTGTGACTCATCAGTGTTTCTTGCTGTGATCTAAAGATGACTGAAATCAAATTTTAGCCATTTTTCTAATTTGGAGATTCCAGAATTTTCTGTAAAAATCTTGTTGGTCTGTCAGCCTTGTTCCTCCAGATTGTAATTGGATCTGGAAATAATTTCGGACTATTTCAATGTCATTTTTTTAACAATACATATAGATATGTATTTATTGCACCTTTACACAGGATGTTTCTCAACGCAGGGATGGCTCTTCGGGGAAAATTCCCAAAAATGAGGATGTTTTGCATCTGCAATGGACAGATTTTTAATCAAAATCTACCTAAAAGGAATGTAAGAACGATCACAAGTATTCAACAAAACTTACCACATGTCGCACAGAAAACCTTCTACACTTTGCATGTTAATCAGTTCATCCAATGTGACAAAATCAGCTTTATTACTCGCCCGTTTGATATGAGATGAAGAGGCAATGTGGTCCTTCAAATTACAGTAACGCTGAGAACATATTTCACAATATCCAGCAACGGCAGGTTCATCTTCAACAATTTTCTGCTTTGTCATTCTGCGACAAAAAAAAGCAATTTAATTAGGAAAGTAAATCGGGAAGAAGTGGGGAGAACAAGTTTAGTGCTTTTGGATATTTAAAAGGCTTATGATAGTATTCCTCTTGTGAACCTTAAGGAAATCCTAGAAGAAACTGGTTTCAGTAAAGGACTTATTGGGGCAGTCAAGCAGTTTTAACGGGGGGCTTTTGCCAAAATCAAGTGTCAAGGTAGGCTTTCAGACAGTTTTGTGTCACCAAGGGGCTTATACAGGGGTGTAGTCTGTCACTGACTCTATTTAAGATATATCTAGAGCGCGTTCTGAAGGAATGGAAAAGGAAGTGTGCCAGAATGGGCGTTCCTCTGAATGACCAAGAAACACTGTTCACGCTATGCTTTGCTGACGACCAGGTAGTCATAAGTCAAGACCACGATGACGCAGAGTATGTGACCCGAAAGTTGGTTGAGGAGTACCGCAAGTGGGGCCTCGAGGTTAGTGTCTGTAAGGCGAAAAAGATGTCAGTCGGGGGTGCGCAGCAAAGCATAGTCCTGGAGGATGGTCAACATACAGAAAGTTGCGAGCAATATAAGTAAGTACCAGAAGGTGAAGCTAACTTCAGATGGGAGGTTGGATAAGGCCGTTCGGGACCGTGATCTTCAAGGAAGGAAAGTCATTGCCATGCTTAATGGGATTCTTTGGTACCAAAGGATTTCGAAGGACAACAAAAAGAGGATTTATAACTCAGTTGTCAAGCCTATAATCACCTACGACAGTGAAGTGTGGCAGTTGAAGAAGCAGACCCAAGAAATGCTCAAGGCGATAAAGATGGATTTCTGGCGAAGATCGGCTGGAATCTCGAAGAGAGAACGTGTCCGAGAGATAATGGGCATTGAGGGGACAATTGTGCACGATATCATGATCAAGCAATTGGTATGGTATGGGCATGTGCAGAGAATGGCTGATACCAGGTTGCCGAGGAAGGTGTTGGAGTGGGTCCCCCTAGGTGGGCAACAAAGGGGACGTTCAGCCAAACGGTGGGTAGAGGGAATCTGTGAAGAGATGGAGAAATGCCAGCTTCCGGAGGATCTCTACCATGACAGATTCCTGTGGCAGGTAGGCGTCGCAGAGCGCCTTAGCGCGCCGTAATAGCGGCTAATACATACACACAAATCGGGAAGAACGTAAAAGCATGACCGAAAATTTCTTGAGATTCTCCGCTAACCACTTTAAAACAATCAGTTCCTGTCAAGCTTCAAAAATCGATGATCACTCGTAGTGTACGCGACTGCCAGCGCTACCTATCTTTGGAGATTGCAACAACACAGTCCGACTCGGTGGAGGCATGACTGTGCTCTGCAGCACCTGCCACAGTCTTTGATAAGACCTACCGTTGGCTATCAGACGGCCGTTGAGCCTTGCGGAAACATAGAGGATACACAATGTGTCAACAGTACGAAGTTAAAGAGCACGGTCCAATTTCAGGGTGCACGACGGCAGGGTTCCTGCCAGTTGCCTTGGTCCCTCGAGGGTGCCTCGCCGGTCAGTCCGGCCCTTACTTACTTACTTACTTACTTACTAAATCAGCAAAACATGGGGCTCTCACTTAATATTGCTAGTGATCGCAGAAAATCAACCAGCAGCTCTGAGTTGCCTACAAATTCATACACAACAAGAAGTTACACACAAGACTGCAGAAAGAATTATTGTGGCTGGGCACAGTAAAAATAACAGCATGCAGAATTGACCAGTCTGTTTATGCTTGATAATAACCATTCATTGAAATACAGGGTTTATACAGGGTGTCTCACGAAAAACGAGCCACCTTGAATATCTGCCGAACGCGTCGGAATTTCGAAAAACGGTAAAAGACGTGTTCGTTTATATCGAGGGGGACGCCTTTTGGCGTATTCGACATTTTCCCAAACCGCGGGAGGGGCGCGGGGCGGGGGGTGCCCCACCCGTAAGTCGAACTTTTCAAATGGCACCCCTACTTTTTTATTTCAGAAATCAATTCTACGCAAAAAAACAAGCCACCCTGTCCAAACCGAATGTAAATCGGACAATTTTTCAGTGATTGACAGAGTTTGAAACATTTTTTTCATGCTCTTTTCAAAAATTTCCCACGCCCAATGGAATCACTGTATCAAACCAAACTCTCCGCCAAAAAAATTCTTAAGCATGGCACTAACGATAAAAAAATAGAAAAAATCTGCTGCACTCGAAATCTGGAGCACGCGGAGTCCTTCTTTGCGGCATTAAAATTCGTTATACCGAACATTTCCAAGGGGCGCTCATCGGGAGGGAGCAGTAAGTTTTAGACAAGAATTATTAATCTTTTTTCTGAAGCATAAGAAACCGTGTCCATGAAGAAGCAGTTAAGTAGAAAAACAACGCACCGCGGAAAAA